GTCCACACATCTGCGTGTGGACAGACAAAACCGGAGTTTTAAGGTCCGCAACGTCACTTTCCACGACAGAAAAATGCTGACATCACGTGTGCGACCTGTGTTTACACTAGCCGACAGCACGGATGCCCTCAGAGCTGCGCTCGCTTTATCAATTGTCCAAGCACTTTTTGCTTGTTTGTTTTTGCAAGCGGAATTACTGCTCCTTGCGGAAGACCACAGACGAAGGACGAGGTTAAGAACGGGGGAAGTACTGCCGCCTACAGGTCTGGCATGTCCTTAACAACGTATTTATCCGGGTACGTGTGAACAAAGTTTTTTTTCTAAAACGAGGTGGTGTGGGTGCAAGTTTTTGGAGGGGCGGATATTCGTTTAAAAAAACTGGCTACATGTGGACTAGGCCTAAGATATACATGGATGGATGCATTTACCACACATTTACAGTGTTCCTTACGTTCACTGCAGAGCTTCCACTGAGATTTACACCTCCCCCCCCAAAAAAAGAAAGTCAACTAAATAAACAACAGCAACGACCTTGGCTGAAAGCAGCTCATTTGTCAGGTGGAAGAATGCAAACAAAGCAAGACTTAATGTGAGATCTGAACGTTAAAAAATAGATCTTCTCCTAACTGGTTACTCATCAAAGAGGCCGCGGAGACTCTTAGTCGGGGATGATGAAATGTCAGACAATCCCTCCCCTCCGTTATGCATATGCTGCATGCTATAAATCCCTTCCGAGTGTGTTTTGAAGGTGGTGGATTGTGTGTTCTCTGCTTATCTGACCCATATCGCTGTGTGAGCCTATTCCCACAGCGTGGCTTCATTCATAACACCAGCAAATCTCCGGCAAAACTCAGGGCTCAAACAGTCCACTGGTGTTTTATGGGGTTAATATTCAAGCTCTTGTTTAATTACAAAAGCTCCGCTATGTGACTCATGAGTTTAGATATTTTGTAATGACGGACGTTACCGCAGTTGCAGCATTGGACACAATCTGCTCTATAGTTACGTTGGGTTTCATACCTTTACAGTTGTCCCTGGAAAAAAAATCTTCCAGTGCCTGTGGATATCTCTGAGTGGCACGTGGTGGAGGTATTGACTCAGACATGGCTCCAGGCAGAAGGGAGGCTGGGATTGATGCAGTCTACCGGGAGTTGGACAGTCCTAAGGGGTAGAAAAATCTCCCGACGGTTTCGAGACGAAACTAGGGCATAAAGTCTGTAAAAGTGCTTCTCTGGTTCCTCACTCTGCTACTTTTTCTTTTTTCTCTCATGGAAAAAAAAGAGCTATAACCCAGAGGGGATCTATCTTCACCCCGTGTCTGGGAACAGTAAATGCATATAAAGCCTGTAGCTTTACTTTTGAGCGACACTGTTTAACGCAACGCCTGAAAAACGATGAGACAAAGCTTAGATGGTGCAGAAGATGCATAAGGAGAGGATTGAGCTGTCATGTGTAGGAGCCGCTCTCTCGGGTGAACTACAGCACATCGGTTCGGTGTTATGTCTACCTCAGCTCCTTTGGTCCTCCACCAAATGCAGCTGGGTGGGAACCTGGAGAGTGTGTTGGTGGTTGCTGACTCATCAGGCTCTTATGAGAGGTAATTAGACGGAATTACCACAAACCTGATGTCACCGTGAAGCCTCATAGAAACACTCGAGAAGCGCTCCGTGAAATCCGCCTCTCTATGCAGCCTTCGGGAAACACGCTGCCCATAAAATTATTAACAAAGCCCAGCCTTTATGAGTGATACGCTTCACTGACACCATATTAATAAATAAAGAGAATGCATACAACAAAACGGCCACCAAAAGGGATGTGCCGTCTGGAAGGCACAAATTGATAACGAGGGTTGGTGATAACGAAATCACAATGCAGATGAGGCCTTGTTAGGAGACAAGGAACAAACCGGGCCGCCGCCAGAGGAAACATCTAGTCGTCATCTATGTGTTGAAGGGACAAACCGAGTCGATTTCTCTGCTCTTTTTGTGTCTGAAGTATCAGAGCAGAGCTGTGGGAGACATTGTGATTCCTACAAAGCATCAGCTGCACGAACAGCTTGTCAAAGTGAAGTGTGTCTGTGTCTGTTGACAAAGAGAATGTCTGATAAGCACCAAATGGAAAAACAAGACCAAACAAGTGTATTCTAATCATGTGCGTAAAAATGAAACAACAAATCTATCCGGACTCATTTGGTTATTTACTGTAAATTCCCAAAATGAACATTTCCAAGTTGGCTTAAAGTTCTTTTTTTCTTGATGTTACATAAAAATAATAATAATAAAAAAATAACATGACTGACAGCCAGGCTCCTCTCACCCCTTCTTTTCTTAAAACCAAACTCTCCATTTCTTATTTAGCTCGTTTTTGGTGTCTTTGTCTTCTGATTCCTTTGAGACACCAGCAGCTTGCAGTCAAAATGAACAGTCGCTGATAGATGGATGAGGGAAAGTTCTCCGAAGACCCAATTTTGAGTTAAAAGCGATTAAACATTAAAAAGAATAGGGAAATTCAGTTCTTTGAAAAATCCTTGAGAGGATAAAGGGAACAGTCAGTGTTTAAAGCGGTACCAGGTGGGTACACATTCCACCCACATGTGTGAAGGAAGACTTTGTTTCCAAAACACTGAACGTTTATGGTTCAAGACAATTAGCCGTCCTCTGCTAACGCTTTTGCATACATTTTGATTTTCTAGCAGCGATGGGAATCAGAATGCCTGTGCCTGCTGTTTGGTGGGAGGCAAGCTCCCAGTCATGGTAAAGTTACATTTATATTGGATTACACCAATCAGGTACCTCATTTAGAACAATAGCATTTCATTGTCTTGACTTTGTGCTGTGAAGCCAGCAGTGAGGAGACAATGAATGGCCATGGGACTGGCAGGGCACACCGTCATTATATGACAATCTTTTGAATGTTCTGAGCTGTGAGGGTTTTGTGCAAGTAGATGAAGATGAAGCTTAATCAGGATGAGTTCCTGTCAAAACTGTTGTCTTCTTTGTACGTTCTTTGTGCCACTTCCAACTTCGCAGTATAACAAAGAACTTCTCAACCACTGGCGAGTAGTTTAGCCACTAATACTTGGTCACAACCTGCAGCAATGTATAGACTTGTACAAAAGTCTTTTCTGCATTTTTAATGTTGTTTTGGTCACTTATGAAAGTGCCCTGTATCAGTGTTTTACGGTATATTTTTAAGGATGCTCTAATCACGTTTATTGTTGCCGTTCACCGATGCGGTCACCAAAGGTGCTGATCACCAGTTTCAATTACATGGACTGGACATACATTTTCTATGTAGTTTTAATGAGTGCTATGGACTACATGATCTAGGAAAAAAGGGACAATAAAATCACCTTAAATGGCTGGTATTATTTTAGACACAAACATGTTTTTTTTATCAATAAAAAAAAACTTGCAACACAGTCAGTGGGTTTGTTTCTGACCTCTGGGTGCCAACAGGGTTCGTCCGTGGTTTCCATGGTGGCCCCATGAGCCTGCATAAATTTTTGCCCATTTCGATTTTAACGACCCCTACATTGGGGTCGGAAAAGGATAGAATGCCTTCTCCGGGTCAGGGATGTGGTCCTGCCTCAAGTGGAGGAGTTTAACTATCTCGGGGTCTTGTTCACCAGTGGGGAAAAGATGGAGCATGAGATGGATAGGCAGATTGGTGTTGTGTCTGCAGTGATGCGGGTGTTGTACCGGTCTGTTGTGATGAAGAGAGAGCTGAGCCAGAAGGTGAAGCTCTTGATTTAACGGTCGATCTACGTTCCAACCCTCACCTATGGGCATGAGCTTTGGGTAGTGACCAAAAGAATGATATCACGGATACAAGTGGCCGAAATTAGCTTTCTCTGCATGGGGTCTGGGCTCTCTGGTGAGGCACTTCTAACTGGGAAGAGACCTAAACAAAGACCCAGGACATGCTGGAGTGACTATAATTCTCCGCTGGCCATGGAATGCCTTGGAATTTTCCCGGAATTGCTGGTCTATGTAGCTAGGGAAGAGGGAAGTCTGAGCCTCTCGGCCTAATCTAATGCCCCCACAACCCGTCTTCGCATAAGATGGATGGATGACCCCTGCATGTGCTTTCAGAGGAACTCAGACATGGGCTTGTTAAAATCTGTGTGTGCAAATCGCTGTGGGGCCACTATGGAAACAGCTGACAAACCCTGTCGGAACCCATATGTTTATATCCATATGGGGCTCACTATGCATGCTGGCTGAGTAGGGATGTCAAAAATTCTCAACCTTCCAATGTTGTCGACCAACATTGGCATTGAAATGTAAGATTGGAAATAATCAGTAAATTACCAGTTGTGCTTGGAGAGCCAGAAGAGTCAGAATTTGTGTTTGAAAAGCCCAAAGGGTCCAAATTTATTTAGAAACCCAAACATATTGTGATACACTAATTATACACTATGACTACTTACCAGGTATGTCAGATGTTATCAGCCAACCATTTTAATGGGCTGATTTTGGCATTAAGATGTAAATTATATGGATCAGGTTTTACACCAAAGTGACACAACTTTTACATATCATGCACACATCATATATCAAACTATTCAGGTAGTTCAGCTCTCACTCAAAATGTTGAAAAATGACAAATCCAAGGTCTAGTCTTTGAGATTTTTCTTGGGGTCAATTAGCCTGGTTTAAATTGAAGTAATGCCATATTTTGCACAGGTAATGTTACATTTAAGTATCAGTGTAATGCTAGTTTCCTAAATTTATTTTTACTTTAGTTTTTCTTTTTGTGAAAAGGGGGGACCCCCACATATATTGGTATTGGTTCATATTTCTACTGGAAATTAAGTTGGACTATAACGGTATATTGAGTATTGGTAAAAAAAAAAGAAGTCAATATTGAACATCTCTAATTATTAGTTTTAGGGCACTGTTCGTTTGCTATCAGTAATAGTGTGAATTAGATCTGACGCTTCTTGAAAGGACTGGATGAAATTAGTGAAAAAAGAGGCCAACACATATATTTCTCACCTCATCGTCAAAGAGCTCCATGATGAACGTGGCCACGCTGCCATTAATCCCAATGAAGAGGTTGATGCAGGTCAGAACCACGTACGCCGTGCTGGGCACGCTGAAGATGAAGGAGGCAGGATACATCATTGGAGTGATGGCCCACCTTAAACAAGAGAGGAGAGCAGAAAGTGAGTGAGTAACTCAAATAAAAATGGTACTGATCTCCACGCTGGCCTGCTCTCATTACTATAACCATCAGGGTTAGTACTCAGGGCAAATAATCAAAATTAGCAGCTACTGAATCAGTGCAATTTCCAGATTCATGAATCTAGATTACCCGGTCAGCTGTGCTGTTTCACGACACCAGCATCCTCTTCCAGGTCATTTGCATTTCAAGTAAGTGACCCATAAAAGTGCTGCAAAATAAATGCCGCCCACACTTGGCAGGCAGTAGATCAAGCTCAGTAATAGAGGCAGATGAAGCGAAGCAGTGGGTGAAGTGGTGTGAGAAGTGGGTTAACCAGAGCCACGGCAGAGGCCACACCAAAGCACCACCTCAGCATCCCACCTAAAATACATATTTTTAATTGTATTTTCTCAACATTTACATATGATTAAAGATAATTTGACTGTTTCTTGTACAGGTAGTTGCATTGCAGAGTCCTTCCTTGCATAGAATTAAGTTATGCTATAAATCTCTCTGAATATGGTTACACGCCTTTGAGCAAGCCACTGGAATTATTCAACCATAAAACACATCTAAAAACAAGAACCCAAAATGTTTTCATTAATGGGGTTGTTATGAACTTTACCAGTGCACTTTGTGACAGAATTTAATATTTGTAGGAGTCATTTACTTGTAGATCTTTTTAAAGGTCAGACCTGAACGTCATTATCTGTAATGTGTGTGTGTGTGTGTGTGTGTGTGTGTGTGTGTGTGTGTGTGTGTGTGTGTGTGTGTGTGTGTGTGTGTGTGGGTGGGTGCTTTAATATGATGGATATAACACGTGCAACATCTAAGTAAGCTATTGATTTTCAACATTAAGGCGTGAGCAGTAAAACATCCATTTGTGACTAAATTAATTAAACGACTGCTTGGGATGAATAATTTACATAATTGGAACTATGTTATGCACGTGTGCATCACTTCTGTGTCTAGGCCAATACTGGGTTAACTGAAACCTTCCAAAGTGAATTTTCATAGAAAGATCCCAGACAGGTTATATTTTACCTGTTGTACAGAGGTCTTCATCAGGACCAGTTGCAAAGTGGACCATTACCCATACAATAGAAATCTATACAATCTTGAACTCCCATGACCTTGCATCCTTATATTGCTGGGTTTCACATGACATTGCATTTATGTCACCAAATGCAGATGGGAGTCCGGAAGCAGTTGGCGCCACACAAAACACTCTTTACTTTGGCGACTTGGCGTTAAAATCCCCAAATTCTATGTGGTCTACGGTTATTACAGTCAATCTAATCGGGACAAAGACAAACGTTTTTTTTTTCAACTCCCGAATGTAGTGCACCACAAAATACCTAATAAAAAAACTGTACTGAAAGAAGACGGCAGAGGTGGATCGGTAACCTACGGCTTAAAACAGGAGCTGAAACGGACAATGCTGGAGTTTTCAGCGATCATTTTCTGACAGGTAAGAGATTACTGAGTGTTTTATTAAACAGCTGCTTAGAAACAGCCATAAAAACGACAGGTTAACAGTTTTATACTGTTTTCACTTCTCCTCACTGCAAATAACTTTCAGAGTGCTAACGTCTTTAGCAGTTAGCAGTGTTGTAACGTGGTGTTTATACCTTATCGCAAACAACCACCTTACAAAATACCTTACCATATAACAAACGTACCAGAAATTAGGATTTAAACAGGCATAAAACGTTAGTTACAAGTAGATCCTACATACTTATCGTCAGCATTAGCAATAGCATTGCTATCATGAGCTAATGAATTACAATAGCACTACCAAGCAAAAACAAGACAACGGTCACTTAAAGCTTCAGATCAATATACTTGAAATGAAGTAGCTGTAGGCTACAGCAAAAGGCAGTTTGTTATGCCGATCACGCCAGCGCTAGGTACATCCTCTACAGTGTATGAAAAGTCAGACTTCTAAACTGTACGGGTCATAAGAAGATAGATTTTTTTGCAAAACACTTCCTCTCCCCATTTGAGTTTTACGTGACTACAGAGTCAAGTGAGTGAATTCCAGCAACAGACACTGGCTTCCTGCTTTAAAACTTTCTATTTTGTTCTAGTGTTTTATTTGTAAATTTTAAATTATAAAAACTTTCATTTTTGCCTTTATAGATGATTTTTTTTTCATTTTGTGAGTCTGATATGAGATAGCAAGGGAAAATCTATAAAACTACATCATAACTACTTTTGCATGGCTGCTACATGGTCGATCTTGGATGAATTTAAAGAAAGTTTAAAGAAATAATTTACAATAATTATTTGAAAAAGCGTGGTTTTACTAGTAGGTGTCACTAGTGAGCAGATTTTACTGCTACATACTGGGAATGACACCTGGAAAAATATACAGGGTATTTTTCCTTTATGATTTTTTAATTTATTTTTATTTATTTAACTTTTATTTAACCAGATGAGTCAAATGAGAACTCATTCTCATTTACAACAACGATCTGGCCAAGAGGCAGCAGCAACAGACACACAGTTAGCTTTACACACACACACACACACACACACACACACACACACACACACACACACACACACACACACACACACACACACACACACACACACACACACACACACACACACACACACACACACACACACACACACACACAACAACAACAACAACAGAGAGATAAGATGAAAGCAAACAAGCTCAAAATAAGATAAAACTGTTAGACATAAATGACTTATGACTTAACTTCCAAAACTGACAGTTTCATCTGATTTGCATTACTTTTAATCATTTTAAAGAAAACTTGTATCATTTTTAATAATATATGTATTCCAGAGGCAATTGACATGAACCCAGAAGTTGAAGATGTAATGAACGAATCCCCCATGGTGGTTGCTTCAAGCAAGAAGGCAGTGGCTCAGGAGGTGGAGCGGGTCGTGCAGAAGGTTGCAGGTTTGATAAGAATGCTGCTGTTGTGTCCTTGGGTGAGACACTTAACCCACTTTGTCTGTTAGTGGTCGGAGGGACTAGTGGCGCCTGTCTCGCCTCTGTCAGTGCATTCCAGGGCAGCTGTGGCTACATCATAGCTCATCCCCACCAGCATGTGAATGTGTGTGTGAATGGATGAATGACTGTGTTGTGAAGTGCTTTGGGGGGTTGTAGAACCCTGAGAAGGCGCTATACAAATGCAGGCCATTTACCAATCATTATATTCAGGGGGTTAGGGTCAGGGGACTTTTTGCTACATACTGACATGCAAGTCAAAACCAAATCTAAGGCAAAAAACTAAGGATTTGATTTACTTACCCATATAAAATAAGCAGGAGAATCAAGGCAGGCAGGTTGGGAGGCGAGACATAAGCTTTTTGTTGGAAGGCTAGGAAGATCACAATCACTATGATGCAGGGGATGATGTAGTTACACTGTAAAGGAAACATGTAATTAGCAGGTTTCTGTCAGAACTACGTGTTTGGACATACTAAGGAAGCTGGTCTCTGCTTTTTGACAGACTTTTTCTCTCAAACTAAAAATCTATTTTAAAATCTGCAGTAACTCTTTATTCAGAACGTACAATTAATTTAGAAACAGACATATGTGATTTTCTATCAAGCTCTGCAACCCACTGAACTCAAAGATCATTTTATAATTTTGTATAATTTTAATAAATGAAATAAATATTTGTTGTATTTAAAACATTTTGATCATAAAATGAGAGGAATAAAAAGTCTCAATTCATTAGCTAAATTTAAAGGAACATTAAAGACTTTTTATCACTTTAAGATATTGCTTTCTAACTAGTTTGGTTGATTCTTGAACCAGAAATACGTAGGAGCGCACTCTGCTGACCAGAAACTGCTCTAAATAACAGAACAAGAAGGATTTTGAATCCTGATAGTTAAAGGAAGAGAGTAATGTCTTTGGAGGCAATGCAAAAGAGCAGAAACTAGAGTGAACATCAGCGTGGCCTACACTCATTGGAGGCTGTGGGAAGGTTGTTTATGACTGTTGTAATTCTGTTTTCAACCAGTAGGGGGAGACGCGAAAAATATATTAACTGTAAAATTAAATTTCATAGGTCTCTCCGTGGGAGAGCTCCAAGATCAAAACGTCTTCTACCCAAAAGGATCTGGAAGATCCTCAATATTTTTGGGGAAAGATTCTGTGGACTGGTGAGATAAGAGTGGAACTTTCTGGAAGGTGTGTGTCTCGCAACATCTGAAGTTAAACTAGCATTTTATAAACAGAGAATCACATTGCCTAAAATATTGGTGGTGGCAGTGTGATGGTCTGGGGGTGCTTTGCTGCTTGAGGACCTGACCCACTGTGCAAAGATCTAGTTTGGACGTCCTACAGACGTGGTCTGGACGGATAGACTCAATATCGACATGATCTACACATCCATGCGACGTTGACCTTTTGCAGAGGAACCACTGGTAGAACAATGAATTCTGCTCTCTAGCGTAAAACCCTGAAGGAGAATGTCTGACCTTTGACCTTTCCCCTACTTCACACCAGAAGCATCAGCAGAGCGGAACGGCAGTGGACTTTCACTGCGTGCCAGTACACACCTGGAGAATCTCAGCTGTGGAGCAGCTCCTCTGCCATGCTCCTTGCTGGACTTGCGGAAACACAAGATCCCTCAAGACTCCAAAGGTCACGGTTTGTTTATGCCATCCACCATTAACTCATTCACTGCCATTGATGACAAAAGTCGTCATTTTAAATCCAACCGTTCACTGCCAATGAATACTAAAGTCATCACTTGCATTTTTTTACTGTGTGGGCGTCAGAACGAGCCCCCGCACCGTGAGAAGAAACATTCCAGCTCTGAAGCCAATCTTCATCCGCTTACGTCATATGTCATGTGATCAGGAAGCAAAAAATCTGGGTGTTGAGAGATCGTTTAGGGGCGCTGCTGTAAAAAAAACGAGATGTGCGAACCGGAAAAGCTTTTGCCGGTCACAATTCAACAACGGATTATGAAAGAAAAATAACGCTCAAAACACGTGGATTCTTCCTGATGTAAGAGGTGAGTCTCCTCTTTGTTTCGTTAGTTTTGGCGTTGACATCATCCTAGCGCGCAGTCTGTGACTCTTAAAAAAGCAGTAAAAACGCTGAAAAATGCTGGCAGCGAAGGGCTTTTTTGATTGGGAAATGGCTAGAAGTGAATGAGTTAAACCAAAAAGAAATGAAATCACATTTGACTTAGCTGTTTTGAGTCATATATGATGTTGTTCCTCTCCACTGCAAGGATTAAAGCCATGAAGACACAACGCTGCACTTCTGGAGCGATGCTGGGAGTAAATAAGTCATTAGATTGCATGTATTGATGAAATCTACATAGAAAATTATCAAGGTTTTACACTGAAACGGTCTGATTTTCTGTCTAGTCCTATGTTAACTGTGGAAATTGACGTGTTCCAGAAGAGGCTCGCAGCAAAAAATACAATCTGATCCTATCTTTAGCGGCACGGTGAGCCGCTTCTGGGACATGCCAGAAAATGTCTGTGTTGCAACTGGTTTGAAACATCCCCATAGACTACAATGGATTCTAGTTTGAAGCAATGACGTTCTGCTGCTGTTCCACGACGCTGATGCCTCCAGTGTGAAGTTGCGTTAGACAGGTCTACCAGCCTGAAAAACTTTCCAAAAAGACAATTTTGCAAACAGTGGGTCAAAATTCCTATACAGCAATGACAGAGGATTCTATTCAGAGACTACGAGCTTTGTTCTCTTATTTGGAGTAACACAAAGCCAAAACAAGAAATCTGTAATGGGCCACACACTTTCTCACTGCACTGTTTATAATGTACCACCCATAATAATATCCCACTGATAAAAAAACAAAACAAAAAAAACATGACATTTGTAGCTTCCAGGAAGAGCTTGAGTAACATTCATATAATCTAATGCAGAATTCATGGTGACGCAGCATGTTTCAGGAACAAATCCTTAGATGCATTTGTTTTGCACTCTGACAGCATTTATCCAACAGAATGATGAGTGTCTTGATAGCATTTCTGTACGAAAGAAGCCTGATGAAATGTTTACTTCCAGGATGCCTGAGGGAACCTACCGATAAGCCTGTTGAGCATAACCAGCAGGGGCAGCTGCTGTCGATAATTACGTCTCCGCCAATAACTTTTTTTTTTCCAGGTAAGCCTTTTCCTGCAGCCAGCAGCAACAAAGCTACATTATCAATTACAGTGGCTGGAGAGGGGTTTTTTTATATTTAGCCTTAGGCGGAAATAAAAATCCTCAGAAATGGAGCATACTGGATAGTAAAACTCAGGGGGGAAATGAGCCTTAAAAACTTCATTTGAGTGGCTCACAGATGCCATCTTACCATGTTTTTCACAGTATTTACCAGTGAATCAAGCAGGTGATAATAGTCTCTAAAATGCACATTTGGAAGAAAATACCCTTTGGGATATGTAAAAAGTCTCCCAATGAATCCAGTACTTACCATGTCCCAGGCAAAGCTGGCCAGCCAGTAGACAGCTGGGTTTACTCCGCTGACAAATTGCAGATGCTTGGCTTTGCTCACCCTCTCCTGGATGAGAAAGAGGACAAAGCTGGCAGGAATGAAGGACATGGCGAAAATAACGCAGATGGACACCACCACGTCAGTAGAGGTCGTGGCCCTGCGATTCAAGAGATAACACAACAAACATAAGGGTGACCGAAGAGGTGACTGTGTACCAGGGCGGGGAAAGGAGGAACATCCGCATTCAGCATGTTTAAAATGTGTCCATCATGTGTAATAGAAGGTGTTTCCGCAGTGCTATCGAAATTCCTAATGTGATTCTCACACATATGGCAATAAAACCCTTCTGATTCTGATTCATTTAGTTTGTTTTAGATCGGTTGGATGCAGTGGTGGAGCATTACGAAAAACAAATAACTGTTTATTGCACTACTGATCTGTGTCTGCACTTGAGTAATTTTCCTGAGGCCTATGTTTTACTTCATCATAATTTATAAAATGTTTCAAAAGTAAAAGTCCTTCGATTTGTATTTTGTCAAACCCCCACTAATGGTCCTCTTTTCGATTCTGTACTGCAGTTCCAAAAGGTAATGTGTTAAATGTCAGTTGAATTATTTTACTTTTTACCTTTAAATTAGGGATGCACAGATATATATGGTATCAGTGCTGATACTGGTACCAGTATCAGTATCAATAAAAGTTAACCGATAGCAGGAACCGATACCAATGCAGTTGCTTGAAAATGGCTTCAGTGCAACTTGTCATTTCTGTTCACCTAACATTTTAGTCTTGTGATGATTTCTATTCATATATTTTACTTTTTATCTACCTCACATTCTTTTCCTGTTGAATGCAGAGAAGAAAATAAAACCTGTATTCCAAATCATAGCATTCTTTTGTGTGGTAGAAGTATTGGTATCGGTAATCGGTACCGGCGAGTACTCAGACCCAAGTATCGGTATCGGTTTGGGAAAAAGTGGATATTGCTGCATCCCTACTTTAAAAACATTAATAAATGCATGCTTTAGCACTTTTACATCAGTCAAATAATTCTTGCATACCTTAACTTATATTTAGTACCCTTTATCTCTACTTTTGTTTAGTGAGAAAAGCAAGTACTTTCTCCACCTTTGGTTGAATATGAATATCAATACATACAGCCTATTACTGGTACTACATTAAAAACAGAAACGTTACCAATTAAAACACTCACTGGCTTTGATGGACCTGATAGGAATAACGTGATCTATTGACAATGAGAAAAATGCACTTTGAGTGTTCTTGGATCTAAAAACAAGCATTTGTTACTGTCAACCACAATATATTACTAAAGCTCTTTTTGCAAGACACTCCGTGCTGGTAAATCAGCGTAATATTACAGAAATGTTGTATAAAAGCGCCATGGCGGCATGACGTTGTGCAGATGACACAAACATTCTTTGCTCTGGTGTGGACTTGCAACAGATTCTGGGGATGATTACTAAAAAAATCCATTAAATAAAACAATTGTTTGAAATAATTAAGCTATCTTTGAATTTAGATAAAACAATGTATGTTATTTGGAAAACATACAAAACATATAGTAGCAAATGTAACACTTGGTATGGTTAACGTATAATGTGTTAGAGAAATTAAACATCTTGGGGTAGTGGTGGACCATAGAATTAGCTGGAAACCACTAATTAAATATGCTAGGGCAGGGGTCCTCAATTATAATGGTCCGAGGGCCACTCACAAAAAGGACCCAGAAGCTAGAGGGCCGGATGGGGTGCTGCTGCTGCTGCTGCTGTTTGGATCGCTGGCTGTAATGCACTTAACACACAAGCTTGCAATATAAAGCAGGACAACACATTCTCCCCTCCAGCTCGGCTGTGTGACTGCACTAACCCGTCCTGTGTGACCCTCACCATGTAGCCCTCATGTCCATGCTGTTTCTGGAGGAGCAGATAGGAGACAAGATCTCCTGTAGACTTTTTTTTTATTTCAGCAAGTAAGCAGAAGAATTCCTCTTAATTTCACTGACCTTCACTCAACTGATATTACTCTCATGAATCTCTATTTATGCAGTCCTTGTCCTTCAGTCTGTTTGCTCAAATTACTTAGACTAAAACACATTTCCGTTCTTAACCCCCATTTCTCCTAACTTCAGTCCAGTTGCATAATTAGCATATTAAATCAGTTGTCCTGTGTGGCTGCATGAATGCATTTATTATCCACAAACAGGCACAATTAGAATGCATAAATATGAAATCGTTTACACCAACTTGGTTCCAACCCACATTCCTGCCGGTTTCAAGGGCTGCGGGGAGGTAATGTAGGGGGCAAAGCTATGAATGATCGAACTCTGTGTGCTTGAAGGTGGTTAATTGCTGTGAAAAGAGGACAAGCAATCTGCTAATTAACTAATAATGGAAGAACAAGAAAGATGAACAGTGGGAGTAAAGCTGCACAGAAAGTGTTGCTCTCCTTTAGGCATTTATTTGATTGCTTTGGGCTGCAGCGGACGCTTTAAATATCAAATCAGAGACTTGGTGGACAGCGTTTAGATACATTTTTGTCTCATAAGATGATGCACAGGAAATATAGAAACTATTTTTGTGCTGTTAAGAATAGATTAGAAATCGTTTTGCAACTTTGTTACACAAAAATGTTGCTCTTATTTTTGTGCTGCACAGAAATGATTACTTTGACAATCAGATCAGGTGTTAAATTAAGCAGAGCTGTAGAACAAGGTTTGCCACTTGCCCAAAAATAGATTTTGTACATTATAAGAATAAGTATTTAAGGCTTTTCAATGACAGAATTCTTCCAAAGTTGTCATTTCTGAAGATGGAAAAAGTGGCGTATTCTGGCATTGATGCAAATGAAGTAAGGACCAGGGGGACCTCTCACTGGACACAATTGTGGTTCACACCAAACTGTATTTAAATGGTTATTTATACTTCACGACTGTGCCTCAACAAATGATTTCCTGTTTACTTTTTTATTTTATAAATATTCAGAGGGTGTCCCAATCTCTGCTCAAGTACTGAAACGAGGTCCAGACTGAGGATTGAGTTACTAATATTGGACTGATGGTTCTCTACAGAGAATTAGCATGTTCTCTCTAAACATGCATGAGCTTTCTTCAGGAATTCCAATCATCCCAAATACATGCATGCTAGGTGGATTGGTGACTCTTTTGCCAGCTCTACACTGCAGGCATCAGTGGTGCGGAACAGTAGCGGGACGGTTTAAATGTGCTTCGTGGCGCGTCAATTCACACCGGGGGAGTCTCAGCCACAGAGCGACATCCCCGCCCTCTTATTTGTTGGATTTAATAGGTCACAAATTCCCTCAAGAATTCAAAGGTCACGGTTTGTTTATGACATCCACCATTATTCCCAAGAGAAGACGAAAGAAACCACGTTTAATGTCGTTATTTGATGTAATTTATAATGTTGTTCCTCTCCACTGCCAGGATTCAAGCCATGAAAAACACACCATTGCACTTCTCGAAAAATACTGGTAGTAAATAAGCTGTCGGCTCACACGTATAGACGGAATCTACATAGATAAGAAATCACATTTCTGCGATAATCTTATTTTTAAAACTTAAATTTTCACTGATAAAGTGTGTGATTTCCCATCTATGTCAATTGCGGAAATTGATGCATCCCAGAAGCCTCTCGTAGCAAAACAAGAACCCAATCCTATCTTTAGCGGTGCGGCAAGCTGATTCTGGGATGCACCTGAAAAGTTCTGCACTGTGGCTGGTTTGGATTCCATTTGAAGCAGCGACGTTCCGCTGCCGTACTGCGTTGTTGATGCCTCCATTGTGGGCTTGGCTTAAACTGACCGTTGAAGAGAGGGAGTGTGTGAATGGTTGTTTGTCTATGTGTGGCCTGTAATGGAAATCCCAGGCTTTCCCCTGCGTCTTGCCTGATGAATGCTGGAGTTGGGCGCCAGCTCATCTCTACCCTACTGGTACTGCATAGATATAATGACAATCTGCTCCAGATCTCCAATGCTGACCTACTTTCTATGGGTTTACATCAGCCCTGATGTCATGCAGCACCAACTCTCAGCTAGGTCAGAACCATTTTCATTAGGAGTAGTAAGTGGACTCAAGGACCCAACAATAATCTTGTAAGTACTGTACTTATGCTCGACTCAGATATTTTGCTGAGTTCAGATTTGTTGAGCAGTCATTCACAAGGCAATCACCATCATACTTCAGCATGAACAGACTACGACCCTGAAGTGACCCACATATGCAGGTGTGACATTGATTCAAATAGATGCTACACATGTGTAGCAGTTCTAAAGTTGTTCAATCACAATTGACACATGATTATGACCAAGTGATGAAGGAAAAATGGTTTAATCCGTTGTTTATATGTGATCTTGTTGCTGCCCACCCCCTTGAGTACAGAATTGTAACGTCTGTCATGTGTCGCTGACAGAAAAGCCTGATGAAATGTGGCATGACCATTCAGACTGTGGTCACTTTGAAAAACATCAGGAATGTTTCCAATTTAGGACCACATATGAAAATTACCTTAATGTTGTTCAGGCTGTCATAAAAATACTAAATAATTTACTTCAATATAATAATAAGTCAAATTAGCAGTGGAATTACTCAGGCTGTTGTCTCAGAATGGGTGTTTTTGATTACCAATCATGTAGTTAAAACAAGACAGTGCATTGCATAAACAGCATTTAAATTGTTGTTTTCAAGAGTTGCCAGCACTTTAAATCAGTAACTGTTAATTATAAATCATAAATCCCCATTCATAGTAGTGTTTAAAAAAAACACCAAGCTGAGATCAAATAAATGTGTTCACGACCAACAAATGTTGTTTTATAAATATAACTGTGACATTTAGATGCCTGTTTGCGTACATAAAACAAACTCTGTGATCTGTAAGTCTAAACTTTCCCTTTTCCAAGTGTTTCTCTGCAGAAACTCACACACAATTATGTTTAATACTATAAATGGATGTTTGGTGTTTAGTCTGCATGTCTGTGATTTAAAACAAATGAAAGCAAAACAATACAAGAATAAGACCGGCTGTATCTATAAATGACTTGGATTGGTATCAGACACATCAAACTAATACATCTAATGTTCATAGGTCCTACATTGTTTTTAGCGCTATAAAGGTATACCTTTGG